TTTGTGCACGAAAGACTGGAAATAAATGAAAGAATTTTTGTACTATTGGAACAGCTTCACTGACGTGAATGCCACGATACATGTTCAAAGTAATTCTGATGTATATAAAGTTGATATATTCAATATCCTTGGTTTCCTTATGTTTGTCTAAAATGTGCTATGAATAAGCTTCTAACCAAGGTACACAAAAAAGTATCACAGATACTTATGTATATAAGTTTAGAGTTGTGAAAAGTTAAGATAAATGTTCATTGAAATCAAGACCCCATTTTTGCACATCGCGCATTGTTATATGATTATTATCTTGATATCTTCATCATGTATTGTTGAAGTCAGATGTTAGTGCCCATAGGGATCTTTCATCATTGCCTTCCTACAGCCTTTGAAATAAATGGTTTCTTTTCATTTTAGGGGACAAAAGACTTCAAGACAAGTACAAACTGATACAGTCTACTGTCCTTTCCCAAAAAAAACCCCCCTCATATTTCATTCACAGTAGATTATAGAAAACATCAAATATTTCAGCTGAGAAAATGCACCAATTTAAGAAAAATATTAGCTCAATTTAAATTTAATGTCAACCCTACATCTCAAAAAAGTCAGGATAGGAGAACAAAGCACTGGAAAGGTAGGTGGTACTAAAAAAGGAACAGCTGTAGCAAGATTTTGCAACTAATAAGGTTAATTGGCAACAGAATGATGTGCCATCTTCGAGAAGAAAAGTTTCTCAGAGGTAAAAACAGGCAGAAGTTCACCTCTCTGCAAAGAAGAAAAAAACAAAAAAACAAAACAACAACCCCAAACTGCATCACAAATTCTGGAACAATTTCAGAAAACTGTTCCTCAACATAAACTTGCAATGACTGTAAATCATAACCTACAGTACATAATGTCACCGAAAGATTCTGAGAATCGGGATAAATCTATGTGTACATGGGATAAGGGACAAATTAATACCAGATGCTCTTGAGTTTCAGTTCCTCAGTGGCACTGCATTAAAAACAGGCACAAGCCTGTCATGAAAACCATTGCATGGGCTCAGGAACACTTCCAGAAAACCCCGTTTGTGAACACAGTTCGACATGGCACCTGTAAATGTTAAGCTTCATCATGCACAGAAGAAGCCATATGTGAACATCATCCAGCAACACTGGTGTCTTCTCTGGGCCATATATGCTTGTTTAAAATTGACCGCACCTAAGAGGAAAATTGTTCTGTAGTCAGACAAATCCAAATTTGAAATTAGTTTTGGTAAGCATAGACACTGCATCGTCTGGACTGCAGAGGAGAGGGATCATCTGACTTATTATCAGCACTCAGTTCAAAAGTCTGCATCTCTGATAGTATTAGTGTGTGTTAGTGCCTGCCTACTGTCCACACATTTCACTAACTGAAAACATTTGGTGCATTATGAAACACAAATACAAAAAAAGACCTAGGACTGCTGAATAGCTTGAATCCTAAGACATATAGGATAGCATTCCTCACCCAAAATTCCAACAATTAGTCTGCTCAGTTCACAGATGTTTACGGCTGTTAGGGGATGGTAAAAAAAAAAAGCTTTTTTGAGATGTGCTGCTGCCATGAAATTTAAATTGGAGTTTATGAAATTTGCAAATCACTGCAGTTTCCTTTTATTTTTACTTATCTGAGCTCATTTAGAGTTGGGGTTGTACATTATTTAATAATGGATTGCATTTATATAGCGCTTTACAATTCCACTATTCATTCACTCACTGGTTCAGGCAAACCACAGCTGTAGCCAAGGCTGCCCTGGGGCAGACTGACAGACGCGAGGCTGCCGTATCGCGCCATCAGCCCCTCTGGCCAACACCAGTAGGCAGTAGTTGAAGTGTCTTGCCCAAGGACACAACGACCAAAACAGAGAGAGCTGGGGGATCGAACCAGGACTTTTAATGAATTACCCATTTATTTTTTATTTTCTAAAAAGGGCAATGGATTGTGTTATCTTACTGCATGCAGGCTGAAGCATTTCCACATGACAAACCCAGCTAAACTTAGTTTATGGGTGTCATGGAAACAGTTCACTGGTAGAAAAAGTAGAAATAAACCTGTAGATTTCAACTGATGTCTTTAACCTCTTAAAATAATGGCTCATTTAATAGATCTTGTTGTGGATGTGAAGTTGGTTTTAGCCTATTCTTTCAAGATTTTCTTGAAAGAATATCACTTTAAATTGCTTTTCACTACAATTGTGTGCTGCTGATTGCTTCAGTTAATTTTTTTTCCAAAGGATGGACAGCTGGGAATATTCAACAACTAGAGAATTCATTTAGTTTGTGAGCACCTGCAGAGTGGCTGCGTGCTTTGGCACTATCTCACTGCACAGCATCTTACAATAAAAAACAGGATGTTAAGAGTTGCGATGGTTCATTGGTATTTTATCTTCATCTCTGTATTATTTTTCCACCATAGAAACAGCACATTGACTAAAGCTACTGTTCTATGTGACTAACAGCCATCTTATAAGCCTGCAAATTATATAAAATAGATATTTCAATTTTATTATGACAGTTTATTAGAAATTGAGAGCAGATCATCGAAATCTACATTTTACTTTTACTATATAAGACTGAATTTTAGGAAGTGCATTTGTTTGTGAAGATGTGTTAAAAAATTGAACCAACATAAAATATGGATAAGGGTCGACTAAGATAAAAGATGTCATAAAAGAAAGAGAAAACGTCCAAAATGAAAACATCTTTTTATTGTCATACACTTTTTAAAGGATGAGTGCAAATAAAAGAGCTTGTGATCAAAATCTACTCATCACTAAGCCATGGACCATAAGGCATCATTAAATACAAGCTTTTTGGAGCTATCATCTACATTACAGGGACGGAATCAAGGAAAAGAAACAACACAGCATCAATGCTTATGCAATTAGAAGGAAAATGAAGGAAATAAATTAAAATGAACAGATAACAAAGGCAACAAAAAACACAACACAATTTATACATTCAAAAGAAAAAGTTCAAAAAGTTCACAAGGAATATTATTATCACGGCAAGTGACGATAAAACATTGTCTACAATCTGTTATGTACACTTGGCACTAATGTTATATCTTTGATTGTTGTCCAGTCGGTTTGTTGTCAACTTAAGCATGTGCACAGGTCGTAACTTTTTAAATTTTAATTCTAGTATAATCATTTATATAATCTATAAATATGCTGCAACAATCATTCTCTCGAACAAAGCTGTTGAAAAGTTTTGCAAAGCCTGATGTAAAATTTGAGATCAAACTGCTCAATGGACAACAGGTCATCAGAAAAATGCTCACATACTTTTTATATATAGTATTGAAGGATTTTTTTTTCTTAACAAGAATCAATCTTTGATAGTCCATCTCATGCACTTTAAAGTTGTAAACAGTACAAATATAAATGATCCACTTACAATATTTGAATCTGAGCAATTCCAAAATAGACAGACAGACTCCCAAAAACAGCAGCAGATTGTTTGTATGCATTTTCCAACACTGGCAGATGTGTATATAATGAGGTGAAAATGGCTATTTAACATGACTGGATTGTCTCCATCTATTCAACGTGGCTAGACAGAATCAAGCAGTGTACAGCTCAAATTATGCCACAGCTTCCAATTTCATGGTGATATGACTTAGCTAGTTCTCTATAACATACATTTAAAATATATTTTGATATACAGTATGAAGTAGAAAAATGGCCAAGGGTGGTCTTCAGCATCCTGATATGTTTCATTTATTTTTTTCCTGATATGTTAAAGGGAAAATTCAGCCAGATTTAAGTTACATGATTGCAAGTTTCAGATTATTTTTAAATGTGCTCCACAGTCAGCTTTATACCAGTGTTGTTGTCAAAAATAACCCATTCAAAGCCATCATTGTAGACACAGATGGAAAAGCTGTTGTGTCTAATTAAACAATAAACCTGGCAAAGAAGTTAACACTATCAAATCTTGCCAATTATCACAGCAAATAAAGACATATATTCATTTTCTACTGCTCCAGTTTTTCTTATCCTTTAGAACTTTTATAGCATCTGATGGCAGGTATATTTAAACAAAACATCTAAGGGCAAACAACGATTTTTAAGTCACCATCAGAGAGGAACATTACATTTTATCTGCTTGCATTCACAAGGAATGCCATATTTCTGTTATATTCATAAGGAGCAGGTAGCTAAGAAAAATCACACTGACTCTGTATACCAGATGACAATTAACTAAAATCTTACAAATGATAATTTTTTTAGCAATGCAAAGAGTGATGCAACCATAACTTACGGTGGCTGACATTAGCAAAAAGCAGATTTACCAATTTATGCAATACTGGAAGAAGTAGCTTTAGCATTATCTCGTAACTCCTCAACAACAGTTGCAAAGTCCTGCTTTAATTACCTACATCTTACAAGAATGTATCATTTGTATGCATCTCTTCTCAGATATGAATGCAGTCAAGCTGCCTGTAAAATTCATTTTGAACACACAGCTGATTACAAGATTATTTATTCAGCTTGGAAGAGCAGATCTTAAAACCTGCCATCCAAGAACAGTGCAGAGGGAGTGATTTCAATAAATATTTAAGATTAGGAAGAATTTATTTGAAGCGTTCAGTTTCAAAGTGACGCCAACGTTGCTTTTAAGAAACTTTGTAACCTTTTTTAAATTTTATTTTGCTATTCAGAAGCCACATTTTTCTCAATCTATGTCCAACAGTCACTTCAGTGCAGAGATGGGGATTTTAAGCTTTTTAAATCTTTTCCATTGGATACACATATTGAGTAAACTAATGTGTAACTTGTAAAACTTTGTGATTAGGGTCTACAACTTTAAAATAACTTAAAATTACTGTACCGACTACACTGTAACAAGCTTTGGATCTATATTATACTGTTATCTGCCATTATCTATTTAAAGAAAAATAGTATACAGTGATTTATGGGAACTGGGGAATGTTTTTTTTTTTGGGGGG